CCAGGTTCAGTTTCAATCTAGAAATAAAATTTACATTATAAGTCAATGGGTCAGGGGTATGGAACCTGTGATTTCATTGGTGTTGTGGGGATATGGAAACTCCTTCTGCTGGTGTAGAACAGCTACTCTTCTGTAACTTTTTATTTTAAAGAGAGAGTGAAGGGGGTGGGGAGGTTTGGCTCTGAGAGGTTAAGTCATTTGACCATGCTTATAGGACTAATATTCAGATTCAGTCTGAATTCAGTTATTTTTCAGTTGCATCTGACTCTTCATGAACCCATTGTAGTTTGCTTGGCAGAGATATTGGAGTGATTTGCCATGTCCTTCTCCAGCTCATTTTACAGATGAGGAAACTGAGGCAAATGGGTTAAATGACTTGCCCTGGGTCACACAGTTAGGAGGCGTCTGAGGCTGGATTTGAACTCAGGGTGATGAGTCTTTCTGATCATAAGCCTAGTGCTCTATCCACTGTGCCACTCAGCTGCCCAACGAATCTCAGGCAGGATTTAAATTCAGATCTCCTTGACTCCAAGGCCAGATCTCTATCCATTGTCTATAATTAAACAAGAATACTTAATGTTTCTATAGGCTAGCAGCTTGATGAAACGCTTTCCTAACTGTCCTTTCTGTGATTTACTTAGCTCATTGACAAAATGGAGATTAACACTTGACCCTCCTCTCTTTCCCTCCCCCTTCTTCAATAGTGACGTTATTCCATCCTCCTTTCCTTCTTTCCATTCGGGTTTAAAAAGCTCTGGCTGTTTCCACCTTCCCTCTGCCTCTCTCTATTCCCATCCCCAATAAAACCTATGCTCAGGAAGGATCTGTTAAGCTCATGAACACTAAGATGCTGTATTTCCTAGACCCCTCCAGCCTAGCTCTCTCCACTAGGGCCAGATCTCCATAACTTTCCCACTGGAAATGGAGGAACATCTGCTGCTGGAACCTCCCTGGGCCTTTTTCTTGTTCTTTTCTGGGCCTCCACAGTACCTCTACCACATCTCCAACCATGCCACAGCCTGAGTAACACTCCGCAATCCATGCTTCCCAGCTCTCATTTATGTGTTGCCTTCTACCACTAGGATGAAAGACGCTTGAGGACAGGGACTGTCTAGAATACTTTATTGTATCTGCGGTACTAAGGCACAGTGGATCTTAGATGTTTTATCTCTCTAGCAATCTAAGATACAAATGGCAAAGAAAAGCTACTTCTGTCAACAGAATTTGAAGAGTTCACTGGTCGGTCAAAGTCTTAAACCTAAAAGATTAGAGCCTTCCAGACTATTGTAAGATTTTGCCTAAGGGAAGGTTTATTTTGTTTGTTTATTTTTGAATAGTGGTTCTTGTAGGTTCAGGGAAAGTAGGTGGTGCAGTGGATAGAGTGCCAGGCCTGAAGTCAGGAAGACTCAAATTCCTGAGTTCAAATCTGGCCTCAGACACTTACCAGCTGGGTGACCCTGGACAAGTCACTTAACCCTGCTTGCCTCAGTTTCCTCATCTGTAAAATGAGCTGGAAAAAGAAATGGCAAATCACTCCAATATCTCTGCCAAGGAAATCTCAAACGGGGTCGTGAAGCGTTGGACACGACTGAAACAACTGAACAGTGAATGTCTTGTAGGTTCCATTAAAATCATAACATACAGAGTAACTGGTAGAGCGGGGTTAAGAATACTTGTCTCAATTCTCATTTCACTTCTCTTTCCACTGTACCATATCACCAAGAGGAAGTTAAAGAAGTACCTCTAAAAGTTTATCTTCAAAGGAAACACTACAGGGGACAAGAAGACCCATTTTCTCATTCTTTGTATACCCAAAACCAACTGGGCTGCCTGGAAGTGATCATTCTTCTCCAGGCCCCCAAGATCTCCTCTGTGACAACGTCCTAGGATGAATATCTGCCTGTAGCTGGGCCCGGCCATGCAGTCTGACACACTTCTGATGCTGGCATTCTCTGCTGAGGAGGAGCCTGGCATTAATGTGACGTGCTGTAGTCAGGGAAGAACAGTTGCTGGCAATAGGAGTGTATGGAGCAGCTTGGGCACCACGGGCCCAAACTGTTCCTGGCTCTGGCTCTGGCTGTTATCGACTCTTCCAAAAGCCTGGGAGCATTTGAGGATTCCTCTCTCTTGTGCTAGAGCTCTGCACTCAGGATGCCTTCTCTGTGAGATCAGTAAAAGAGGAGGCAGCTGAAGTCTGAGCCACTGAGGCATATGGCAGCATTTCAAGCATCATCACAAACAGGAATATCAAGGTTGTGCTTAGGTGTGATGACTAGACATCTTGGCTAGGGATGGATAGCTGGATAGGAGTGCAGTCTCACCTCCTGGCCTCCTTGATGCATCCTGGGGCAAAGTGTCTCTGAGTAACATTCTAGTCACCTAGTGTTGGAATGATTACTCTTTTTCTATTGAGTTAGTTTAATTGGCCTGCTGTTGCACATTCTTTCATCTTCTCCTCCCTCTCCTACCCCTCCCTCTCTCTGTCTCTTTCTCCCTCCCCTTCCCACTTTCTCTCCTTTTCCTTCCCTTCTTTCCTTCCACCTTCTCTTCATTAACTTGTCAAATTATAGTGCTTTTATTTCCAAATTTAATTCTGGAGTGACTGTTGTGGAGATTTGGTTCCTTTATTCTCTCTAAGGGTCTTTCCTTGACTACATGTATCTCCTATCTAGCTCCATTCAACTTTCCAGGCTGAACTCTCCAATTTTAAAGTCAATGGCAAGGTCATCCACTGTCAGTCATCTTGACTTTTGTCCTGCCACTGAACTTCAATGACTCAGGAAGAGAGAGTGAGGCTGATGACTTTGTGCAATTTTGCTTCACTTAAATCCAATTCGTGCTCAACTTAAGACATCACCCCATGATGTCATTGGTCTTCTTTGAAAGTGAAGGATGAATAACTCTAAATCGACTAGTGAAGCCAGGAAGGGATAATCTGCCACCTCCCCCCGTTCCCACAATAACTCAACAATGGCAAGATTTATCAGGTACAAGCCCTGCTCTACTGAAGTCATTGGGCAGGATATTGGCATGACACCTGGAGGACTGAAAACTTAAATGACACAAATATTCCTTGTTGTTGTTGTCTTAGTTGATTAGATCTTCATGATCTCATTTGGGGTTTTCTTGGCAAAAATACTGGATTTGCCATTTCCTGCTCCAGCTCATTTTACAGATGAGGAAACTGAGCGAAACAGAATTAAATGACTTGCCCAGGGTCACATGGCTAGTAAGTGTCTAAGGCTGAATCTGAACTCAAGTCCTCCTGACTCCAGGCTCAGCACTCTATCCACTGCATCACCTAACCGCCCAAGTATTCCTTGGTGTTGTCAAAAAAAAATGGGTCAAGTGGTTTCATGACCACAGTTGAGAATAGAATGCAGAACTATAGATATACTCCTGGGATCTTGTGAATGTAAATGAAAATATATGGCAGCTGAGTTGCTGAGAATTGTGAATCATTTGGCAAGTTCAGAGATCCAAGGGGAGAAAGAAAGCACTGTATTTTACTGTAAACTGAGAAAATCATTTTCTCCCTCAATTAGGAACAGATGACTTTCTAGTACTTGTCTAAAGGAAAGATATAACAAACAATACCATACAACTAAAAATGAAAAGTTCCAAGTTATTATTTATCATTGCTGGAGGACTACCTCCTAATTACATTATCCAGAATATATTATGTCATCTATTCATTAAGACTCATATATATATAGAAATTGACTCACATGCAAATGAACAGGCAGGAGCGGTCCAACTACAAAGATGATTTTAATATTAAAGAATGCAAAGATATATGCAATATTTGTATTGAGTTCAAATGAAACATATAAAAATATATGAGATTTGAAGTGGTAAGATTTATTAGCTGTTTCTGAAATTCATCAAAGTTTTTAAAATTAATTTTAAAAAAACACCTTCTCTCCCTTAGGAGACAAATGTTTTTATATTTATGCAGCTCTTACTTGCCAATCTCCTGATGAGAAGGCTGGTTTATAAATGGATGGGTTTTTCCACATGGGTTTGGACAAACAGCAAGATCCTGTTTAGCGTAAATAATGAGTCCCCTGAAATGGTCTCATGTATTCAGATTTGCACAATTCAAAGTGATAATTATCTAAAATAGGTAAGCAGCTCCAACCCAATAGTGACATGCAGTACATATGCATATATTTGTATTTCTATATACATACATACACACATATATGAACAGTGTGACCAGGTGATATGTGTGTATCTTTACATGTATATGCATGTATATATATCTATATATGGATCAGTTAATAACCATTGACATGCCCAGTGTGTGTGTGTATGTGTGTGCATGTGTGTATATATGTATATGTATATATATAAGTATATATATATATACGCCTCTATAGATATAGACAGAAAGAAATAAAAAAGGAAGGAAAGGAAGAAAAAAAGGAAGGAAGATAGGAAAAAGAAGAAAGGAAGGAAAGAAGAAAGGAAAGTAGGAAGGAAGAGAAAACCTGGTCATACTGGATTCATAAATGTATACATACACATATGTAGACAGATAGGTAGGTAGATAGATAGATAGTCTGGTTATACTGACTTTATAAATATAAATAAACACATAAGTATGGATACAAATACACAATACACAGACGAATAGATAGATAGATAGATGGTTAGATAGATATATAGGTCTGGTTATACTGACTTTATAAATGTAAATAAACACATAAGTATGTATACAAATATACAAAACACAGATGGATAGATGGATGGATAGATAGATAGACAACAGCCTTTTTGCTCTTTACCATTAAAAAAATGTAAAGATCGTCTTCAGAACTGGGTCACGTTTTTAAGTATAGATCACATTGTCAACTTTTGTCACACTGTCATCAGTTTTCTTTAACTTTTAAAACTTCTCCTCATTCCAATCCTCCTCCCTCAGTCTTTTCTACATTAGTTTCCAGTTGCTACTCTATTCTGTGGGCCATGAGTGTCTTAGGATGGTTCCTGCTTACCTGTGACAACACTGGGGATTTTGGACAGAAAACTCTTTACTGTCCTGATGGGTACTCCGCCTGTCTTGTCATCCTGCATCTTCGTAATGATGTCTTCAATCTGTAAGGGAGCAAGAAGAAGACCTTTAAGTATTTTAGTCTATACAAAACCATGGCCATGTTGCACCCTCATAAGAACAAATATATGAACTTGGACATCAGCTTTATTTTTTAAAATTTATTTAAAATTTCTAACATTCACTTCCATAAGATTTTGAGTTTCAAATTTTCTCCCACTCCCTCTTCTCCTCCCTCTCCAAGACGACATGCAATTTGATATAGGCTCTACTTATTCATTCATATTAAGCATATTTTCACATTAGTCATGATGTAAAGAAGAATTAGATCCAATAGGAGGACCACAAGAATGAAGAAACAAAACAAAACAACCAAAGAGGAAATCAAATAGTATGCTTCGATCTTCATTCGAACTCCATAGTTCTTTCTCTGGATGTGGACAACACTTTCCATCACGAGTCTTTTGGAGTTGTCTTAGATCCTTGCATTGCTGAGAAGAGCTAAGTCTGTCAAAGTCAGTCATTGCACAGTGTGGCTGTTACTGTGTACAATGTTCTCCTGGTTCTGCTCACTTCACTCAGCATCAGTTCATATAAGTCTTTCCAGGTTTTTCTGAACGCCACCTGCTCTTCATTTCTTATAGCACAATAGTACTTCATTACATTCATATACCACAACTTGTGCAGCCACTCCCTGATTGATGGTCATCCCCTCGATTTCCAATGCTTTGCCACCACAGAAAGGGCTGCTATAAATATTTTTGTACTTGTGAGTCTTTCACTTTAGATTCACCCTAAAGTTTCCATCTACTTAATCAACTAACAAATATATATTGAGAGTCTACTATATGCATACCATTGTACCAGAAAAAAAAAGGCAAGAGATATTACCCCATGACAAAATTAGTTTCAAATCTTGTATCAATAAGGAGAGAATTATAAAAGTGACTAGAAACTTTGTGGATGTATGTGATGAAAGATACATTGTGTAATGAAGTGGTTCTTCTTTGCCAACCTGGAGCTGTGTTCTACTTTGAATGTCTATTTAAAAGTATTAAATTATAAAACATAATAGGATGTCTTATCAGAGACTATGTGATAATATATTATGCACATTTCTGGGACCAAAGCCCGCCATAGCCATTTTCAGGTCTGACCTCTTCACTCCACCTAGTCAGTAAAATCCAGTGGCTCCTTAACCCTTAGAGAATTAAATGCAAAATCCCCTTTCTGACATTCAAAGTCTTTCATAGCCTATCTCCACCCTTTCTAGTTTTCTTACACCCCACACCTGCCAATGTAGGCTTTGATTCAGTGACACTGGCCTCCTGGCTATTTCCAGAACAAAACTGCAACTCTTGGCTGGGATTCTTTTCTCAGGCTGTCCTTCATGCCTGAAATGCTTCTTACCTCTGAGTACTGGCTTCCCAGGCTTTCTTCAAATCCCAATTAAAATCCCACCTTCCTATAGGAAGACTTTTCTGCTCCCTCTTAATTCTAGTGCCTTTCCTCTGTTAATTTCTTCCTGGATACAGCTTGTTTGTATCTATTTGTTTGCTTGCTGTCTCCCCCTGTAGACTGTGAGCTCCATGAAGGTAGGAGCCCTTTTTGTATACCCAGTACTTAGCACAATACCTGACACATAGTAGGTATGTGTTGTTGTTCAATTATTTCAGTTGAGTTTGACTCTTTGTGACCCCATTTATGGTTTTCTTGGCAAAAATACTGCAGTGGTTTGCCATTTCCTTCTCCAACTCATTTTACAGATGAGGAAACTGAGACAAACAGGGTTAAGTGACTTGCTCAGGGTCATACAGTTAGTAAGTGTTTGCAGCCAGAGTTGAACTCACAAAGATGTGAGGGTGGCAGAATAAGAAAGGGGTAGAACCTTGAAGTATCACTCCCCTTTCTCCTAACCAAAAGTGTTAATACACTAGGATGGATTCTGTATCCTGTTCTCAGACACTATGAGAGAATCTTAGAGTTGGAAGGGGCTTAGCAGACACAGAGCTCAACCCCGCCATTTTGTACATGGGGAAACAGAAGATCAGAGAGATAAAGTCAGTTGCCTAAACCACACTAATAGTTAGTGATAGACTGAGGGAAAATGGAGGATGCAGAGTGATAAATAGCTAAACAGGAAAATTGCTGCTCCATTCTGGAGCAGCTAATTTGCTCAGCGGATAGAGCACGGGCCCTGGAGTCAGGAAGACCTGAGTTCAAATCTGGCCTCAGACTCTTACTAACGGTGTGACCCTGGGCAAATCACTTAACCCTGTTTACTTCAGTTTCCTCATCTGTAAATGAACTGGAGCAGGAAATGGCAAACCATTCCCGTATCTCTGCCAAGAAAACCTCAAATGGGGTCATGAAGAGTTGGACAGGACTGAACAACAACAGACAGATTTCCTTAAGTGGTGTGGTGAGCCAGAAATATCTACAGTAGGCAAAATAGGATCATTCCATTGTCTCAGGCAACCTAAGATGTCACATGGGACACCTTTCAAAATGGGCAAAAACATACTACACAGCAGACAAAGCCTTTCCAAGGCTGGACCAGATTCTGCCAGGTAAGAAGAAAATGCCAATAGCTTGTTTAAATGAGTTAAACCATTAAGGGTGGTATATACCTGGACAGCACTTTTACATTTTTCAAAGCATCTTTATAAGTCATTTAATTCATTCTATCTAACAAGCACATGACAGAGGTAGGGCAGGAAAATAATTTACCCATATAGAGATATTTATTTTAGCTCTCAAAGTACTTTATAGATACTCTTCTCTGGTCTTTATTACACTACTATGACAACAGGGTGGAAACAGAGCGTCCTGGATCTAGCAAATTGGCTCATAAGTACCAATTATTTAATTTTCAGTGTGAGCATATAGACTTCAGTCACTGGCAAACACTGCAAGTCAGGGCTTGATTTGTTGTTGTTTTCTTGATTGTCTGGACTTAAGAAAATGATGGAGAACTTGTTAATGATGTGGTTTGAACTTGAAACATTTGTTGTCTGTGCATTTTTCCTTCAGAGTCAACTGTTAGATACTTACTCTTGGGTAGAGGCAATACTTTTTAATAGTATTTTATTTTTTCCAATTACATGTAAAGACAAATTCCAACATTCATTTTAAAACATTTTTGAGTTCCAAATTTTCTCCCTTCCTCCCTCTCCTTCCCCCTTCCTTAAGATGATAAACAGTTTGATATAGGTTATATATTGTAATCCTATAAAATATATTTCCATATTAGTCATGTTGTGAAAGAAGAAACAAACCAAAAGGGGAAAAAACATGAAAAAGAATAAAGAATGTGAAAATAGCATGCTTTGATCTGCATTCAGATTCCATCAGTTATTTCTCTGGAGGTGGATAGCAATTTTCCTCATGAGTCCTTTGGAATTATCTTAGCTCATTGTACTTCTGAGAATAGCTAAGTCATTCATTAGTTGATTGTCACACAGTGTTGCTGTTACTGTGTACAATATTCTCCTGGTTCTGCTCACTTCACTTTGTATCAGTTCATGGAAGTCTTTCCAGGTTTCTCTGAAGTTTGCTTGCTCATCATTTCTTATAGCACAATAGTACTCTATTATATTCATATACTACAACTTGTTAAATCATTCCCCAGTTGATGGGCATCCCCTCAATTTCCAATTCTTTGGGAGGTGATACTTTGAAGAAATCTATGATTTCATTGGTGTGCATCTTCTCTCCACAAATACAAATAGAAATTGCCTTGGACCTTTCACCATTCTGAAAATTTTGTTTTCCCTATAAATCCTCCTAAGAAGATTTAATCAAAATACTAGAGACCCTCTTCTTGGTGCCTTTTAAAAGAAAGTATCTCAGGCATACTAGTGGGTCACTAGGGGTATCCATCTATCTCTCATTCTTAATACATGTGACTAACTTTCTTCCCAGTAATAGATAATCTCAGTAATGTCTGTTAATGACATTGTTTGTACATTATCCTGCTGCAGCCTGATTATGCCCACTCTAACAACAATAACAATAACAGTTAGAATTTATATAGTGTGCTATGTAGTATTAAATAAATAAATAAATAATGATAATAATGACAGCTAGCATTTATATAGAAGAGAACTAGATGACTCAGTGAATAGAGTATTAAGCTTGGAGACAGAAGACCTGAGTTTGAATCTAACCTCACACACATAATAGCTATGAGACCTTGGGTGAGTCACTTAGCCTCTGACTTGCTTTCATTTCCTCAATGGTACAGGTATACAGTATGATACAATACAATCAGGAATAATAATAGCACCTACTTCCCAGGATTGTTGTGAGAATCAAATGAGATAATATTTGTGAAGTTCTTAGCACAGCACCTGGTTCTACAGAATGGGCACTCTATAAATACTAGTTATCATCATCATCATCATCATCATCATCATCATCATCATCATCATTATTATGCTTTAGGGTTTGTCAAGGACTTTAAAAATATTATCTCATTTTTGCCTCACAACTAGGTTCTATTATTATTCTTATTTTGCAAGAATATTGGAAATTGAGGCAAATAGAGGTTAAGTGTCTTAGCCAGTGTCTGAGGGAAGATTTGAATTTAGGTTTTCTGTATTCCAAGAGTTATGCTCTATTTGCTTTGTCACTTAGCAGTCACTATGAATTATTCCATTCACCCATAGATTATTTATCAATTTATTTCTTCTGAAATTGTAGGCATGTGGCCTCTTAGTGTGGCCTTCTTCCTCCTCCCCTCAATGCTCCCCCTTTCCTGCCAAAAAATCTGACAGCTCTTTGATTTGTGCCTCTCTAGAATGTATTACACAGTTATCTGTGTAATTGTCACATTCTCCAACTCAATTATAAGCTCTGTCAGGTCCATATCTTATATAAACGTCACATCTTACTCAGCACCATGCACAGTGATCAGTACTTAGTAGAGACATAATAAATGTGCATTGAATTATGGTATTTCATGATTTAAAGTCACACAGCCCAAATAGGAGAACATTGAAGTTAAAAAGATCAGCTTTTGCAGCAAAGACTAGTT